CTCTTTACAGTAAACTTAGAATCACTCTTGCATATTCGTCTTCTAATCTAGCTTTTGTATCTTTTTTTTTATTTTTGGTCGGCAATTTTATTAAGGTTCGAAACATCAGCATTTATTTCATTAGAAATTGGAACTGCGACACTTACTTTATCATACTGAGAAATATTGGAAGATAGAAACAAGAAATTTCTGTTATCGTTCATGGTTAGAAAGCGTTATGAAAGCTTATTATTATTGTTATTTGCGTTGTATTAATTAATTTATCGTCTTTTTATCAGTAGTATTGAGAATTATTCTGTCCTCAGTCTTTTACCGTCCGGTCCCGGTCTTTACGAAGACCGATCCATCCCTACCTTGAATACGAACATGATTCTATTAATTTACGTAGAATAAAATAAAAATAAAAATCCGACCCGTCGACTGGAATTTAGGAACTACATGTTATGCAAAACGATAAATTAACTTTGTGTGGCCTAATCAGAAGTCAAGCACGAATTTTTTTCGACTCAAAAAATAAAAGTTTTAATGCAGTAATAGTAACTTAAATTCAACTTTAGATTCACTATCTAGACCGACTAGAGATTTTATTTTGATTCAAGCATGTTTAAATTTACTTAAATTTTAGCGGAATTCTATTTCAATGTATGGCATAAATATAAATCTTTATGTAACGAATACATACGTATATTTCTAAGATAACTGTTTTCGCTATTGCTTTATACTGAACGTTCAATATACAAGAATACTATCAATTCTGTACATTTTTCAACTAGATATTGAAGTAAACATTTTAAATTCTTATAATAGAAACATTAGAAACTTTAATTAAAAAATATATGATTATGCTTAGAACAATATTATATAAAAGAAAAATAGTAACATAATATGAACTAAAAATTATAAATCATATTCTTGATTGATTTTATAAAATATCTGATATATTTTCTATCAATATTTCCATCCTGAATTCAAAAAACAATGCATCAAACTGTCGAATTTTAATTTTTAGCTTGACAATGAATATCTGATTTTTTTTCTTTAATAAATGAAGTAACTTCTTTTAAAAGAACTTTTCCCCTTCCATTTAGCAGTAATTTGCTAAAGCATTCGCTAAAGTTGATTTGACAGTTCAACAATACTAGTTAGAATAATTATTTTAGGATTATGAGTAACAGTAACAAATTTACTAAATAAAATTTAATATATATTGCTTGATCAAACCTTAAGTCGGTAAATTATCGGGGATAGTGAGTTTGGACAATCCTTCAGCAAATTCTCGCGTATTTATTAATTTGCTTGTGTACGATTCATTCGAATTCTTCAATTCGGTTATTTTTGGCTTGATCTTATCAGTTTCAAAAAATTGTTTTTTTGTCTCGTTATCATCACTATGACTTAACATATCTAACCAGTAACCGATGTGATAATTGATCGTGGAAACAGTGGGACGTTTTACAGGACTTTTGTCCATACACCTTTTTGCTAATTTAATATAACAATCTGGCGTTTCAATATCGAAGTTTGGCCTTTCTCCTTGATATATTCTCATTGTAAGATCTTTATTGAATGATTCACCGTCAAATGCTCTTTTTCCTGTTGATATCTCTGTCATAATGATTCCCAAACCATAGATATCTGCCGCCTGTGTAAACTTTCCACCTTGCAAAACTTCAGGAGCCACATAAGGTAATACCCCATAAATTTTTCCATCCTTTTCTTTTTTAGACGACAATCCAAGATCTGTGATATACGCACTACGTAAATTATGTTGCAAAATATTACCACTATGAAGATTACAATGAACCAATTCATGAGAATGAATTAATTCTAAATCAGAAGCGATACAATGTAGCAAATTTAGCTTATCCATCCATTTCATTTGTGCTACTTTTTGAATATTCTGTCGCAAAGATCCCTCTTTCGCATAACTTAAGACTATCATATAATCTTCTGAATCTTCGTCTCTCGATATTCCATAACATTCCAAGAATGATGGATTCTCAATACCAATTTTACTATATCTTTCAAACTATTGTCATATTAATCTTTTATTTTTAATTTTATTTTTTAAAAAAAACAATAAATTAAAAAAATGTTACCTCATTGGTAAATTCTTGAATACGCTCGTTTGATCCATGAATCAACTTTACTGCAACATGAGTCCATAAACCTCTACTTTTATTAAGCCAGTATGCATAATATACAGTTGAGAATCCTCCGTTTCCGACCTTCCGTATATTTTTAAGTTCTTCATAAAAAACCCAAGTAAATTTATACTTTTCATTACTTAATAATTCTTTCAATTTATAATCTATATTTTCAGGAAATAAATTATCTGATTTTATTAAACCTCTTCCCATTCTATACCAATGATTTGCTCGATGTATATCCCTCGATACTCCTATCCCATTGCGGTAACAATCACCAACGTATAACATCCCTAAATTAGAACCCATATCTGTTGACTTTCTAAAATATTCAAATACTTTATTTTCATTATTCTCATCTATCTCAACCCCAATCTGATTAAGATAATAGTACCCAACATTGAATGTTCCACTATCATCACCCATATCAGCAGCTTTCTTAAAATATTCAACTGCTTTTTTCTCATCTTTTACAACTCCAATTCCATCTCGATAACAAACACCAACGTTATTTATCCCAGCAGCACTACCCAAATCGGCAGCTTTTTGGTAATAAATTAAGGCATTCTGTTCATTCCTTTCAATTCCAATACCTTTTTCATAGCAATAGCCAACATTATTTGTCCCAAGAGCATCGTCCATATCAGCAGATATTTGATAATAAATGAATGCCTTATTTTCATCCTTTTTAACTCCAATTCCATTTTCATAACAATAGCCAACATTAAATGTTCCAACAGCATCATCCATATCAGCAGATTTTTGATAATAAATGAATGCCATATGTTCATTCTTTTCAACTCCAATTCCATTGTGATAGCAGTGTCCAACGTTATATGTTCCATTAGCATCACCCATATCGGCAGATTTTTTATAATAAAAGAATGCCTCGTGTTCATCCTTTTTAATTCCAATCCCTTTTTCATAACAATAACCGACACTACGTGTTCCTCTTACATTACCTATATCGGCGGATTTTTTATAATAAATAAATGCCTTATATTCATTCCTTTCAATTCCAATACCTTTTTCGTAGCAATAGCCAACATTGTGTGTTCCAAGAGCATCACCCATATTAGCAGATTTTTTATAATAAATGAATGCCTTATGTTCATCCTTTTCTACTCCAATTCCTTTTTCATAACAGTAACCAACATTATTTGTTCCATGTATATGATCCTTATCAGCAGAATTTTGAAAATAAATAAATGCCTTATTTTCATCCTTTTCGACTCCAATTCCATGAAAATAACAATAACCAACGTTATATGTTCCACCAACATCACCCATATTAGCGGATTTTTTATAATATATGAATGCTTTATGCTTATCCTTTTTAACTCCAATTCCTTCATCATAATAATAACCAACTTTAAATGCTCCTTTAGCATTACCTAAATTGGCTGATTTTTGATAATAATCGAATGCCTTACATTCATCCTTCTCAACTCCAATTCCTTTTTCATAACAATAGCCAACATTAAATGTCCCTTTAGAATGTCTCAATTTAGCAGATTTTTTATAATAACTGAAAGCCTCATGTTCATTCTTTTCAATTCCAATTCCTTTTTCATAACAATAACCAACATTACGTGTTCCACCTGCATCACCCATATCAGCAGATTTTAGATAATAAATGAATGCCTTACATTCATCCTTTTCAACTCCAATTCCATGAAAATAATAATAACCAATTTTAAATGTTCCACTAACATTATCCATATCAGCAGATTTTTGATAATAAATGAATGCCTTATGTTCATCCTTTTCAACTCCAATTCCTTTTTCATAAAAATAACCAACGTTATTTGTTCCAAGAGCATGACCCATATCAGCAGATTTTTGATAGTAAATGAATGCCTTATATTCATCTTTTTCAACTCCAATTCCATTAAGATAACAACGAGCGACATCATTCATTGCGATAGCATAATCCATGTCTGCGGCTTCCAAATATAATTCGAACGCCTTTTTTTTATCCTTATTCACACTAATTCCTTTTTCGTAATCATAACCTAATTTGCGAAGTTTAGAAGGGTTTGCCAAGTTCATTTTTTATTATTTTTAGACAGTATTTCAAATAAATTTTTAAATTGCAGTTTTAGTTCACATTCAACACGGACCTATTTGTACTCGTATGGTTTGTAATACGAAATTTTTTAGTAACAATTCATATGACGATGTATTCAAAAAACTGCCAAATATATTTTACATAATATTTTAAAGATATGTGATTGACAATAAATCAGAGAAAACTGGAAAAAAAATTGGATGTTCTTAATGGGACGGTCTATCGACACAGCATTCACATGATTTATCTTCCTTTATCGACACTGCAAAAGTCGAAATGATCATTAATTCGTGTCACCATACTATTGATTAGATCGGGAAAAATTAAATGTTAATTCTGTGGCCAGTTGATCCGTAACCTTGGTATAAGTTGATCTTGAACTTTTTGGGAATGTTAGTAGGTTTTCCAATGTAGATATCAATACTTGTGTATTAATTCCTATAGTTAGCCCTAAGTTCGATGGATTCAATTCTGAAGATAGATATTGTCACGATAGGATAATGTCCTCTGGTAGATTACTAGCCTCCGCACATGTATATAAATGCTAGATTCCGATGTTAGAGGAAGATGTTGTATGCCCATTGAAGTCTTCATCTAATAATGAGAATTCTCGTTAATGTCCCTCCTAATAATTTGCTTGCCTAGATACTCAATTATCATGAACGCATAATAATCCTAGGAATCTTGTGTAGTGATCCGCAAAATCAAATCAAAATTTAAATTTGAATCTAATATTTGAAAATATTTGATCAAATTTGATCAAACATTTTCAAATATTTGATTCAAATCCAAATTTTGATTTGATTTTGCGAAGTACTAATATTGAGTTTTATCTCGACTCTAAGTGCTCCCATAAAAGTGTGATCATGACCTGAATCCATGAAAGTCACTTCTACAATGCTTTCCCACTAGCTAACACCAATAAAAAAGATGAATCATGTTGATGTTGTGTTAGTAAACTGTCCCGTTCTAAATACTAATTGGATAACTAATATGATTAAGGATTGCTGAAATGTGATGTAGATATGCAATTTAATCCGTATCATGTCAATTTTGTTAAAGTGTGGCGATGAAACGGTGTGGAGCGAAGCTGAGAAACCGATGAAAAGAATCAAGCTTCTTGGCAGCTACGCATTTGATAACTCTATATTATTTAAAATTCTATATATTAAATAATATTGAACTATTAAATAACTTTTATTTCACATAAAATTAAATAGAGTATCCTTTAATTCGCTTAAAGTTAACAGATAGAGTTTTCATAGTAATACTAGTGTTGTGGGCGGCACATTCGCGGCATTTATCTTATTCAGCATTTTTAATCATATTAATGAATTATTGTAAAAAATTCTATTATAGAGCTTGCCTACATGCAGTATGTGATTAAGGTAATATTACTTAATATTAGAATTATCATGATTTTTAACACGATTACTGTAAACATTCTGTTACAGAACTAAACCGCAAATGTGGTACTCACAGTGGTTAAGTTAGTTTATATTATAATTATCATGACTTCTATATAAGTTTCTGTAAAAAAATTTATTATAGAAATTATAAACGTTTACTTTTAACTGTTTAATTTGAATAGTTACAAGCTCTTAGTAGTAGAAGATCCGGGCTTTATATTTAAATTTGGTCGGTTCTTGTAGTGCGTTTGGGTTTTCAACCGTTGTTACCATCCGAATTTTGGGAGAGCGTCAGATAGGTTAGTGCCAATGTAGTTCAGGGAGGTAAACGAATGTTCAATATAGCGGGTTGGGTAGTGAAGGTGAAATATGTCGGGACAGAATGTAAATGTATAAGATAAAAATAAAACACAAGATGAATGCAAAATAAATAAAACTCTAAACTAAAACTGAAACTGCACGAAGCATAACAGCCAATACGTTTATTATAATTCAATGAGGACAGATTGTCTACTCAAGACAAAAACCTCAAACAAAACATTGAGACACAAAGCCCGAGGCAACAAAACCTGCCTTTACAAGAAGGCGAAGACATTAGGTTTATATACATGTCAGCTAACTAGAAAGTCTAACGATACAACACATGTCTAACATCGTATCGCATTACTAATCTTTGTTTACAGCTAGCACCAACCATACTTTCCAACGCTTCAAAGACCGAATTAAGAGTCACACTTAAATTATCCATCTCGGAGATCGAGGCTCAGATCACCGACAAAGAATCGGAAGGTCGATTATTATTATTGTTTGTATGTCGGACCAATTTGCCTATATGCATTACAGACTTATATAGTCCGGAGATCGGATATAAGATAGTAAAGGGCCGAATGATAAAAATAGAATTAAGGTGGGACAATGGAAAGACAATCGGAAGCAAGATCATCTGATAATTTTAAGGAAGGAAGATAATAATAAGGCAGGGTGAAAATAAGAAATGATGCGATTTTTGGGGCGCAGGTAAGTTACAACAGTCACACCGGTACTATTCAATTTTAAAAATGGTGATCGGACCTCTGGGTCGATAGTGCAGTGGTTAGCACTCCGGGGTTACAATCGCAAGGTCGCGGGTTCGAATCCAACTGGGGGATAAGGCTCTGTCAGGACCACGATTGAAAAGATCTATGAGGATTCAGAATAAATCAAGAAAAGAACAAGATCCATACGTGAGAATGCAGTCCGCCGGCATAGCCACAGGGCCGGGACGACCAGAAAAGGCGCAATCCGTCAACAAATGACGCTAACATTGAGGTGCCCCTGTTTAAGGAATTAATGCATTAGACATAAAAGGTCAAATATAACAGGAAAGGAAACTGTGAGGCCGTGGCGATGAGGAACTGCGGATCTCGAAGTCAGAGGTCCTACACCGCGGGACCAGGGACCCGGGATATCACTAAGGTGATAGACTTACCACCACGTGGAACGGAGGGGCTGAGGAACACCACAGGTGACGTACGCAGCAACGAAGTGTGCTAACTTGCAGGGACCGAACATTCAGGGCCAACGGCCATCCATTGATCTCCGCAGAATGATAACTCTGGCCTTAATTATGTGACAGATCCTAAGGTGTCTAAGGACCTTCAGGATAGCGGAGGGAGGTAAAAAAAAAAAAAAAAAAAAAAAAAAAAAAAAAAATGGTGATCTTTAATAAGACCCCAGGTGCTGTATACAGTGCTAAATGGTATATGCTTTCCGAGTAATGCCGTTTGGGCTATGCAACGCCCCCAGATAAGGGCCCAAAGTGAAAATAATTACATATAAGGCCAAAATTTTAAAAAATATTACAATTAAAAGAATAAGATTGCAAATTTTTAGTAAACAAATAAATTATATAAATGTAATTTCTTTTGACATTTAAACGTATTATTTTTTAATCAGTATTGCATTTATTCTCAGCGCCTTTCATGTAAAAATTATAACCACTTTTGCCAATTTTTAAAAGTATTTAACTTTCTCCACGAATAAAAATGAACATCTCCGGTTCTAAATATCTACGATTAATGCATAGTAACCTTCACAAAATTGATTAGTTTAGAACCAAATAAGCATTACATTATCAATATACGTCGTATTTAACCTAGTTGAATTGTTTCTTAGTTAAAAGAAAGTCCTAACATAATCATGCAATAATCATTGATTATGTAAAGTGTATACAAAATATATATGTATGAATTAAAATAATTCCTCAAATTCGAATTATTCGAATTTATTGAGTTTATAAGGACTTACTCAATTTTATATTTATATGAATTACATAATTCGAATATTCGAATCCAACTTCTAGGCGGAGGTATTTTCTACAGGGGGATCCCCAGATTTCCGGGTCGTAATGGTCGGAATGCGTCGTGGCTAGGGTCGGGGTTAGGGCCGAGTTAGGGTTAGCGGGAGCTATAGGCTATAGTAAAATTATCAGCTGGGCACTTTTCACTTAATGAACGACTATTGTTTCATTACTAAAATTCTTAATGATCTTGGGGCAAAATCGATCAACTCCGGCCCTTCCGGCAAGAGTTCCAAAACGTCCGACCCGGAATTTTGGAGATCTCCCTGTAGGAGTTAATCCAGGTAGATGAGAGATCACATGAACGTATGCCAAAACTCCCTGGGAAAGTCTCCGGGCACCTACCATTCAAAACTTTAAATCAAAATACCTTGGTAATATCCGAACAAATTTGACAAAAATTTTTTTATCTGAATTCTATGAATAAATAGAATTCAGATAAAAAAAGTTTAACCAAACATGGTTTGGTGGTCATGGAGATATCATCTCTCAAAGTTAGAGAAAAATCAAAACGCCTATCAAAATACAATTTTTTTAGAAAAGTTGAGCGATAATATCTCCACAACTATCTAACCAAAACTGATAAAAAAAATTTTTATTTGAATTATATAGATTCACAGAATTCGAATAAAAAACTTTGTTAGGTGGTCATGAGGATATCTTCTCTCAAAGTAAGAGAAAAATCAAACGTCTATCAAGAAAGAAGCTAGAATCCGCAATTTTTTGAAAATTTGAACGAAGATACTTCCACAACTACCTAACCAAATTCGAAAAAAAAATTTATTTGAATTATATGGATCCATAGAATTCAAATAAAAAAAAAATTCATTGAATTTGGATAGGTAGTTGTGGAGGTATCTTTGTAAAAAAGATCGGTATAGCTTTTATTTTGATAGGCGGTTTATTTTTTTCTAACTTTAAACGAAGATAACTCCATATCCACCTGCCCAAACTCAATAAATTTTTTTTTATTTGAATTCTATGATTCAATAGAATTCAAATAAAAAAAATTATCGAGTTTGATCAGATTGGTTGTGGAGATACCATCGCTCAAATTTTTTAAAAAAATTGCATTATTATCAGTAGGTGCAAAATCACGTGAATGGTAGGTGTCCGGAGACTTTCCCAAACTCCCTAGCATGTCCATTAAAATCAGTTGCGTAATTGCTAACCGTATTCCTCCGAAAATAAGCACCCTGGCTTGAATTATAACTATTTTGGTCAACATTATGTGCAAAAAAGGGGTGTTTATTTTTGGAGGAATGTGGTATGATATTCAAACCAGATTTTGTAACCCAACAGGTTAACATGTTTGCAACATTATAAATCGAATTTATAAAACTTAATTAACTTCAATTATAAAATTTTTATTGCGACAAAAAGAAAAAACCAAGTTCATTCAAAATTATTCAGTGAAATTTATTATTCATCTTTACATACTATAACAGGAATATTTATTAATTTCGAATTTATTAAATAAAAGTAGTTTAATTTATTTTATGAAATTTTTTTGTTATCTACATCTACCATCTTTGAATTGTTTGAAATTTGGATCTCACCTTTCTTTTGCTGCAGAAGATTATAAGACTTTTCATTCAAACGCCTATACCAGAGTAGTATTGATATTAGACACTTCTATTTATTATGCTATATAATTAATTCAATAAAAATAATAAATAAGCTATGCCTCGTACAGTTCTATGTTAAAAATATTACTATATTATTAAAGCTTTAATGATGTTTTTAATTACTGACACTATTAACCCTCAGAGATTTTAACTTATTCCTACTTTCAAAGCATTTTTACACTTATAAAAATAATTTGCGAATTTCTTCAAGAGATTTTTTAGATGTTTCAGGTAGCAGAAAATAAACAAATAACCAACCGATAATCATGAATACAGCATATAACCAAAACGTTACTATTTTTTTTTTTAAAAAAAATAAATTAATATATATTATTAAATGAATGTAAATACAAGGAAGTTAAAATTTTTTTATATTTACCAACAATTGATAATTTTTCTATTAATGGAAGGAATGAGACTGAAATTGTTAAGCTTATAAGCCAATTTTTTGCTATAAGAAATTATTAAGTAAATTTATTAAAGGCCAAGCCAATATTTATATATGATTATGACTCTTTTTTACCAGTAGAAATTCCCGCAGCTCTACCACGTATATTTAAAGGAAATAATTCTCCCTGAATAGTCCATGGAACATTTCCAATCCCTACAGCATATGCTGCAAAAGAAAAAGAGCTATAAATAATATTCTTTCAACAGATATAACCAAAATCATTGACTTACCTATTACATAAAGGAACAATCCGAGTAAAGTTAACAAAGCTCCTTGGACATTCGTTGATTGACAAGTATTAAGAGATTGATCTTCCATTAATGTGTTATTATTTTGTACACATGTTCCGGAAGTTCCAGACATTATAAATTTACATCTATCATCAATCATACACGCTTCACAATTAGCACCGTATTCAATACATGATCCCGATTTAAACACCTTATTAGTTATGAGGAAAAAACCCGAACTGATAATAATTAGACCAAAAATGACACCAATCATAGTATACAACAGTATTCGGCGTCTACCCACACGATCAATTATGAAGACGGCTACGACTTTTTGATGCAAATAGTTATTAGAATTAAGTCACTCTATGATGTTCAAAATCGTAATCATACACAAACCAGTTGATAGAAAATTAGTTCCAGTAATAATAACTGAAGAAGTTATATCGATTTTAGAAGAATTGAATCCAATCATTTTCATTATAGTGGCCTAATTAGAATCATTCAAATGAATACATTGCGTTTATTATCTAAAATAATTTTCGATAATTTATCAAACTTACACCGTAAAACATAAGCACGCTAAATCCCGACAGATTTTGAAATGCTTGAAGACTACATGCAATAATAAGTGGTTTCAAATTTGGATAACGAATTAATTGTTTGTATGATCCTGAAGCATCTTGAGAAATCGTATCATAAATATCATCAATCTCTATAAATGACAAATTTAATAAATTTCAATGTTCTAGATTTTAAAACATATATTAAAGATGATATTTTACTTGCTTTTCTGTACATATTCACTAGGAACATTGGGATATATCCTTGAAAGGATTTCTCTTGCTTTATCAATTTTACCTCTACGTATTAGGAACCTTGGACTTTCAGGAATAAAATATATAACTATTAAAAATAAATAAATAAGTGATCATTTATCATGCTATGAAATTAGGTAGGCTTCAGAAAGATAACTTTCTAATCGAATTACTTACAGCAAAGTTGAATAAATGAAGGAATTATTGGTATCCCAAACAACCATTTCCAACCATGATCAGGTATCGAAAGCAATATAGAGATTAAATATGAAACGAGTTCACCTCCGGTAACCATGAGAATATTAATTGTGACTAGTTTTCCTCGATAAAATGCTGGTGATATCTCACCAATGTAAACTGGTACGACCATTGATACCAAACCAATACCAGTTCCAACAATTAGCCTGCCCAACACCAATATTATAATAGGCGAAATAGAAATGCTTTCAGACAGCAAAGATGTATATGCTAATATGACTGAACCACTGGCAAAAATAATCGCTGCTAGGAGTAGTGTGACACGTCTTCCAATACAATCCGAGAGAATGCCTGTACATAAAAATGGTTGACGATGGCTTTTAATCCATTATTTCATCACATTTCGACCTGAACATTCCCATAATTACTATAACAATCTCGCTAGAATAATTGCTTTTCTAGTTCTTTAAATGGAACTAAGAGTCTAGGAGGTGATCGATCTTGTGTTTAAATTCAAATATCTTTTTTATTTACCTGCAAATATTCCACTAACCATTGCACCAAATAGCATTGCTGATTTTAATTTCAAATAAAAATTGTGAACTCAAAAATTGTGAACTCAAAAGGTTTTCATTCGAACCAACATTAGATTAAAATAACGCACCTCCAACAACCAATCCTTTTTGAAAACTTGTCATAGGAATATCATTTTCCAGTAACAACATAGCACCACTAATAACTCCGCTATTATACCTATGCAAGTTGATCATTCAAAGATATAATATAAAGTCTTATATAATATAAAGTCTTGTAAAAATAAATAATTTGAAAATCAAATGGATCCGTGATATTTCACTGACCAATTAATTCTGACAATCAATTCGCACAGCTCATTTCATAGAAAGTTTTTCTTGTAAATTGCACTAACCTATACTCTAATTCTAAGCTAACCCTAATGACAATGATTAGAATTACTTTGTCTATGAAATGGCCGTTGGTGAAATAAATGAAATGAGCTGTCGGTAAACTCGCTTATGAATTGACTGACTGTAAAAATCAATTTGACTGCGAACTAATTGTTGGTGAAATAAGGTGTCTACGAAATGATTATCTACGAAGTGAACAGCATCGAAATACTGAAATAATAAATATTTACCCATACATAAATCCACCAATTGCAATAATAAATGTCGTTAAATATACATAAGGGGTAACTTTGACTGTCTCCTCTACATTATTAAATCCTAACTCATTAAAAGACAAATGATCTTTATCAACTTCTGAATTATTTGTTGATATGGACATAACTTTATGTATATAGTGTACTCTCTTTATTAATTTATTAATTTATTAATTTATCAGTTATATTTTTTATTCAATCTTCTTTCTACTAAACTTAGTCGACTTATTTTTCGAGATAGCTATTTATTCGGGTTATCAAAGTGTTTGGTTACACGATCCATTTTGTTAACGTAGTAATACGATTGTTTTGAAATCTTTAATATTATGGTGAAAAGCCATATGCATACTGTAGTATGTAATAAATAAAATCTACAATTTGCGATAACTTAAATTGACATAGTTATATCGATCCCTTATTCAGGAATAGTCTGGTAATAGTAGTACAAATTTTTATAAAAAGTAACTAACATCCAATTCCTGGGGTGAAGCACAACCTTTCCTACTTAAAACCACACTTTTGAATTGGAGTATTGTAAGCGTACTACAACGTATCCAATACCACCACCCAGAAACTGCAACAAAGAATCATTGCCTTTTATAACTATCATTAAATAATAAACGACTACGTTGCACGACCTGTTTTTCTGATCAAAGATCATCGAAACATTTACCAATTTATACCATAGATCACAATTACTATATTTAAAATGAGCAAGATCACAGATCATACCCAATTAGCAAGGACTTAAATTTATTTGGGTATCAACTAATTTTGATAAATTTTGGAAATACCTAGCCATTAGAAAAGCATTGTTGGCAATCAAATAACACGATTGTTGTGCAACTATAGCAAGCGAAAGAACTTTATTGATTCCGAACATCTCCGACAGAAATTCCAAGAACTCTCGGTTTGGCTTTTACCCGAGACTAACCCAAAATAAGACCAAAATCTGTACCACAATATATACACAATTTAACTATATTAATCATACATTCGTATTGCGTATGTATACATAAACGCACATGATATTTTTAAAATAGTTGATACGTATTGCGTAAGATAAATTTTGTAATACTATATTACATAAATATACAGCAATAAGTAATTTCTTAAAACTGTAAAAATAATTTATCATTTAAAAATTAGTTACGTATAAAAAAAAAAACAACAAAAAATTGTTTCACAAAATAATCAGTAATCAATAGGTACATTACAAGGTTAATGCGCAGCATACTACCATATGATATTACACAAACGCGTAAATATTATGTTCTTGCTACACTAAAGTACCAATATAGACACGCGTGTGGACGAATAAAAAATTTTCATTCATGTTTTTGTACGTATCGCTGGATGTAATAATTACTAGTTATTATCTGCACTTGTTTGATATGATTAATTTCAATAGTTTTCTGGTTTATAATCCATTATGATAAATTCCAGAATTCTACAATCAGGAAATTTTTGAACGTGCGACATACCTTGCATTGTACAACAATTTTTATTAAGAAAAAACTAAAATCAACAAAATTAGTTTTTTCTTAAAAACTATTATACAATGCAAGGTATGTGGAATTTTATTGAACAATGAGTTTACGCACTTTCAAAAACTTCCTGATGTATTTACAAAATGCTATGCATTTACGAAAAAGATTCGGAGATAATGATTTTACACGTAAACAAATGCTACAACCTGTAGGATTTGGTTAAACACAAATAACAGCAATAAATTAGCCATTTTCAAAATATGACCATTAATGAGTGGCAAATATCAAAATTAGAGTAGGAATCAATACAAATAAGCAATTGTTCGTTAGTTTATTACAGTATAAATATTTTTATGAATGACAAATCAAACGAATGCTTTGAACGTTGGCATTCATTCAAGCCCAAAATCATTAATGAAATATCTTTCTAAGAGTATTGATGTGTCACTTAAACGATCACTCATCATGTAACAATGATATTTCGTGAACGGTAAACCCGTTTTCTATGAATTTGAGCTTAAGCTAAATAAACAATTTGAAATTCTTAAAATATGAAAAAATTAGTTGTACATTACTTATTTTAGTCTTTTCAGCGCCCATTTAACCTAATTTTATCCGTTTTGTGTGCAGTTGTTCATAGTTTTTTTATGCAATTATTTTGTACGACCGCTTATTTAAATATCGTTATACGATGAAATAGGTGAAACATTTATGCAAACAAAAATCCAAAAAAATATCAATTTTTATTGACGGGATTGCGTCTGCTAAAAAAATTAACACCAATATGTCAGAAAGATGGCTTGAGAAAGCTGTTTCTGATGAGCAAATTGTTAAATTTGAATATGAAAGGTTTACTAAAGGTGTAAAGATTGGCGATGGAGGTTTTGGAACCGTATATAAATATGAGTGGAAAGATAAAAATATATTTGTAGCTCTTAAATGTCTTAAAGTTGACGTAAATTTGAATCGAGAAACTACTAAAGAATTTATTCGTGAGGTATCATTTATTATGCTCTTTTCTTTCTTTTTTTTTTTTTTTGGTACAATAAATCTTTTATAATTTTTAAATATTGTATTTACCATTATCAAAGCTAAAACTATTACATAAGGTGTGTAATCATCCAAACATTATTGAATTTTACGGAATTACAAAAGGTATGCATTGTTTAATTTTTCTTTTATATAGAATTATCGTACGGCAATGTTGTTACTACCATAACACAATTTTGAGCATATTTGTACGGTTGAGTTTTAAAATACTTACTAGACAGAGCCGATAATAATCTGTTCTGTCCAATAAGAATTTTAAAACTCCACCGTATAAATACAGCATGATCAAAATTTTGGCGCCGGCGATAGTATCGTTATCGTATGGATTGATACGATGGTATGGATGTATACATGCCGCAGAAACTATTTCGGCATTGATTTTTGATATGAAACCGTTTAGGTACCTCAGCGGTTTCATATCAAAATCAATGCCGAAATAGTTTCTACAGCATGTATATATGGATGTATATCAGTGATCGAAACAAATATCTGTCAGAGATATATGAACCGCGACTGCGGCCCGTATATCTATGACAGATATTTGATCCGATCACTGATACACGAGTTCGCCAGGGCGCCCCAAAAGTCCGGATCAGGTGATCCGCGCCATAGCCACTACATAATTTTTTAGAAAATTATCGAATATTTTAGCTCCTGTATGCAGTTTTATTGATGTGGCAATGTATGTATGTATTTACTACTGCTATTAAGATATGGCTGTGGCGCGGATCACCTGATCCGGACTTTTGGGGGAACTCCTGATATACACCCATACCACTGTACCAGTGTTGGCATTGGACATCTGTCCAATGATTTTGAAAACGATTAGACATATAAAGTTTTATATGTCCAATATTTTTTTAAAATTATTGGACTGCCAACACTGAGACCGTACGAATTTTTTTTTTTTATCCTCCAAACGATAACTTATATTTATTATACTCAAGTAATTATTTAAATTCTAAATTCTTTTTAATAAAATAGACGATCAAGGATATTATAACATGGTTTTACAACTCGCCAATAATGGGAATTTACGACAATATTTGAGAAAAAACTTCAAAAAATTACAGTGGAAAGATAAATTACATATAGCAAGTGAAATGCTTAATGGTCTTATATTCTTACATGATAAGAATATAATTCATCGGGATCTCGTATGTATATGTTTATATACACGTAATTTTTTTTGAATATATAAATTAAATTTCTTTATTTTTTATAGCACACAAAGAATATTCTAATTCACCAAGGGCAAATAAAGATCGCTGATTTTGGATTAGCGAAAGAAATGAATGAAACTTCAAAATCTTCTACTTCTGCTGTACAAGGAATGACGGCATTTATTGATCCTCAATGCCTTATTGTTCCTAGATATAAACGTAATAAGAAATCTGATGTTTATAGTTTCGGTGTAGTCCTCTGGGAAATTTCAAGTGGTAGACCTCCATTTGATTCATATGATTTAGGAGTTATGCTTGGTATTCACATAATTCATGGAAATAGAGAAAATCCGGTAGAAGGCACACCACCTCAATATGTTGATCTTTATAAAAAGTGTTGGGACCATGATCCAGCAATTCGCCCTGAAACCAAATCAATTTATTTGATATTAAATAACATAACTTCTAATAACCTAGTTTCTAATACTGAAGTAACTCAAAACAATAATTTAATTGATTCATCTGTTGAAATTACTGATGAGTCTACATTTTCGAGCGATTTAGATGAAATTGCTTCATCTCCTATCAATGTTCATCTGTCTGAAATCCAAAGAATACTTGTTGATGAAGTTGATGTTCAAAATCTTACACTTGAAGATAACTTTCTTGAAAAAAAGAGAAAAGAAATTCATAATTGTTTGAACGAAGGTAATTTTATTAATGCACTTGATCTTTATCAAGAAGTTCTCAAAAATAACAAACGTAGTATCGAAGATCAGCAAAATGCGTCAAATTGGGACTTATCAGCTTCTGATTTTAATTCAAAGAAAATTAATGAATTAGCTGAGGTTCTTCATAAGAATATAATTATGACTTCTTTAGATCTTAGTGGAAATTATCTTGGTTCAGAAGATGGAAAGATATTAGCGAAAGCTATTTGTAAGAACTCTACTCTGACTTCATTAAATCTTAATAATAATCGGCTCGGCGCTGAAGGTGGAAAGATATTAGCTGAGGCACTTTGTGAAAACATCACCCTAACTTCTTTAGATCTTTATGGAAATGAAATTGGGCTAGAAGGTGGAAAAGCGATAGCAGAGGCCCTTTATAAAAATACTACCCTTACTTCTTTAGATCTTTATGGGAATAAACTCGGCCTTGAAGGTGGAAGGGCAATATCAGAAGCTCTTTGTAAAAATTCCACTTTGACTTCATTGAATCTTCGTGATAACCAACTTGATTCAGAAGGTGGAAAACTCCTAGCAGATGCTCTTTGTGAGAATACTACTCTAATTTCATTAGATATTGGGGATAATCAATTGGGTCCAAAAGGAGGAAAGGTATTAGCGGAGGCACTTTGCAAGAATAATACTTTGGCTTCCATAGATTTTTCTGGTAATAAACTTGGACCTACAGGTGGAAAGGCATTAGCTAAAGCACTTTGCATAAATACTGGACTAACATTTTTAGGGCTTTATAGAAATGATCTTGGTTTAGAAGGAGGTAAGGCATTTGCTGAGGTTTTTAGCAAAAATACTACCTTAACCTCAATAGATTTTAGATATAATAAGCTTGGTTCTGAAGGAGGAAAGGCAATAGCAGATGCCATGTTCGAAAATACCACCTTAACTTCTTTAAATCTTGGCAATAATCAACTTGATTCTGAAGCAAAAGATCTGTTAATAAGTTCATGTTACAAAGATGGTGTTATATATGTTTAAATGAAGAACGTGTCAGATGTGGTAGAATGAGTTGGAGTAGGAAAGATATTATAAATATACTTGATACAATTATGCCTACTTATAATCGTCACCTGTATAATCATTATTTCATATTTTTATGTAATCAAATCGCAAAAAATATGCATAGTAAATTTATAAGAATCTGATTGCCTGTCTGATCAAACTGGTCAAGCAAATTTTTTTGAGAGATGCTTGAGAACTTAATAAGATTGGTGAATTATTGATATAGTGCGCAAGTACTTTAAAAATTGTAGTTTCTAAAATTTAAAGCATTAAATACAAATTTTATATTTAACCTTGTCTGAAATTAAAGATGTAGGGCGCTATTGGCGTCCCACTCACCTTATTGATATATAATAAATACCTGACATTTATCAAGTCAACACCTCATAGTTCGTGCTAATAATTGTTCTTACGTTATCCTTGGTATCCAATGAAAGGTAATACATATCACGTCAATCTAAATGTTGATCAATCACCAGAAAAGTAAAAAATGTATACTATAGTATTATACAATGGTATTGCTGCATTACAATAGGAAACTTGAGCTGCTGGCTAGAATAATTTGCTATGCAGATTGCATTTGAAAACTATAAAGTAAAGGCAGATTTCACTCACTGAAAGATAAAAGTTTAAATCTCGCCTTTTCACCAACTATTAATTAATCAGGTTATTTCATATGTATTTTAAAATAAGATAAATTTACATTACCAAACAATAATCAAACAACATATATTTTGTATGTACAATTTTATTAAAAACTATGTTTTTCTGCTGCTTCTATTGTCACACAGACATTAAAGAGTATCTTCCTTTCCTTGTTGTACAATTTATCCTCTTAAGATTGATTCGTCCTAAACTAATATGGTTCTATTTAGTATTAAGCATTTTTTAGAATCAATTAATCTTATAATATAATCATAATTAATTGAACGTAGAGCAAGTTCTTTCGCTCTCATCATGAATAGCAGTGATTATAATTTCATCATCCCAATAAAAAATCCTACAAAGAATTACAAATTTGCATTGGACCACTGATATTTATAACTAAAAACCATGCCTTTGCTATCATTACAATTGTACTTATAGTTGCATTTAGTTCTTGCTTTTAAATAATTTTATTAACAGATTTTTCGAATTTAATAAACTGCACGTGCCGCAATATAACAAATCACGGGACATCCAGTATTATAACATGCGCAGATGTCTGGATATAGAAGAAAGTGTTACACATTCCCGCAACGTGTGAAGTCCTGATTTGCATTCACACCCTTGCTTCGCCATATGCATTGTCAAATAAGAAACAAGATTTTTTTCAGACGCACGTCACTTAACTTGCGATATAACAAATCCATACACTTAGTAAAATTTTCTATATACTCGTTCTTAGTATGATGAATACAATTTTTTTATTTTATTTTCCCTTTCTAAAAATATTTTAGAATAAAGACAATAAGTGAATAACAAATTCACTACATTTGCTATCTCCTAAATTTCTTCTAACTTCTAATCTTGAGCCAACGCTAATCTAAAACTAAAATACATCCTATGCTGAAGCGGAGGTATCCTGGAGTCTTTCACGATAAGTACATTTGTGCTTACTGTTCGAATTTCTTGACCATTATTATACTTACAGAAGGTCATGACAAAATATCTCAAACAAATGGCTTAAAAAGCTATTTAGAACACGTTAATTATCTCGATAACGAATTTACGGACTCTGCGATTATTCCACTTAACCAAATCTAACATACCTTTTCTGATTCAACCCAAATAACTTCGATTACACCACGTCACTTTTGTTGGAATGACAAACTCACCGATATTGACGTTGGAAGTTTTTAAATATGGGTGAAAGATCGTGAATTAACGATTAACTGTTGTTTTTAAAATCGATACCCATTTAAGATTTATTAATGAGGTATTATATATTGCATTAATACTTGAATGATAAATTATAAATTAAAATAATTAGTAAATTATTATGAAGAATTTGTAATTTTTTATTAATCGTAAATTTTATACCGATTGAAAATGATATCATTTTAAATCTAAAAAGGACATGTCAATTAATAATTGACATCAATCGAAAAATGACGCATAAAATTAACTCAATGCACTAAGTTTCTACCACACCGCTATTTAGCACTTAATAGTAATGTATATGAGATTTCTATTGGAGAAGTTCTGTGCCGAACTTAAATAATATCTGGTCCGGATTGAAATTCGCTTTAATGAATAAGCTTACTAAACTTTCATTGGAAATCTCGGATAAAGTTAGTAAACTCCGTAAAAATAATCAATAACTTCTTTCCATTTCCAATCTTCCTTCAAACTATGAATAGTCACGGTTTGAGGAAAAATTAAACTACCTTTACTTGGTTCATATCTTAACATTCTAGGATCATCATATATTAAACATTGTTCATCAATCCAATTTTCATTCATGTCATTAACCATTAATATCCAAGCGAGCCACACATCTTCATGATGATTCTTTAATTCTTCTTTTGAAATGTTTAAATTTCCTATATTTTCAGCGTACTTTGCTGATAAAACTTCAATCATTCCAGTTGCATACTGTTTTAAACTACTATCAGGATTTGTGGTTCTCATATATCCATAATAAAGGTGTTTTGTGTATTGAGAGAAAGGACGTAAATTTAGTGCCAGGTTTTTAAGATTTATAAACGAATCATCATCAGTTTTAACTATGTAATCGTATTCATTCAAGGTATTATCTTCAACTGATCTTTTAATTAAATTTTCTGTTACCCACTTAAAATAATAATAAGTTTTTCCATCATTTAAATTTTCATCATCATCTAATATAATAATATCTTGAAAAGCTTCATTTTCTATCTTAAATTTTAATTTAATATCTTCTGAAATTGGTTTATTTGATTTTCCTAATATAAATCTATAATCAATCAAATCTTTATTTTCGTTTTCAATATATTTATTGAATTGTCTTGTATTTATCTCGTATCGATATAATGTGCGCAATAAATGTCTCCTCTCAAATGTTTCTATGGTGGTGAATATTCCTATAAATATTTTTACAGGTGGATAAGTGGATAATTGAGAATATGATATGTTACGAAGTTGATGATAAGATTCACATGGTGGATTATAAGCACGTGGTAATCTTGTGAAATAAATTTGAAATAATAATAGAACGAATATAAGTAATATGATCAAAAATACGATGAAAGGTCGAATTATTTTTTTAAAACTTTTATAATACATTTGCTTTTTTTAAAGAGTCCGAAAAAATTAGTGAAAGCAATGAACCCTCCTCTTACGTACGTCAATGATGCAGATCACTACCTAAACTAACCTGAATTTGTATCCGGTTTTAGATATAATAACCGGATTGGCAGTTAGAAAAGTGCGCATGTACGTATTAAAATTGACATACTAACCATACCTATATTATTCATTTAACGCTAAGAAGCTATGAAATTTTGTGCCAAGAAACTAAGATACGTATTATGTTTGCATTTATGTTTCTAGGTGCCTATTAGACTTGGATATTATTTCTTCAGTTTAGCCTTTATTGGTATTTGATGTTTTACAAAGTTTGAATAATTGTAGTAAAGGCATAAGTACGCACGTATGTATGTATTCTGTATGTTCAATTAGCAGAGCTTCGAAGTTTAGTTCGACTTAGGATTGCTCTTCACAGCGCAGTACTCTCAACATTTTTCGTTTGTTGAATTAAAATGTTGACTTATAGCAAAAAAAAAGAAAAAAAACCGAAAAAAGCTTTAAATCGCTAAATACTGTATTATAAGATTACCAAAAATGAACAACAATATAACATAAAATACGTACGTACGTACGTACATAAATTAGCGTAAAAGTGTCGGTGTTACAATAATGACATTTAAGGAATTTTTGTTTTCTTATCATCTTCATTCACGGGATACCATGCTAATGTGCGCATTAATGCACATGTTATTACGGCTGTGTAGATCCATTTCTAAAATGGGTTATCCGGCAATATATTGCATTCCTTGTAAATGCAGAATAAGGTAGCTGCGAGACTTCATCGCGCAAAACCAGGAATAGGAAAGTATATAGATACTAAGCGTCAGGACCAGGAAAGTATATAGAAATTAAGCGGCTTAAAATTTTAGGTTAGAATTATAATAGTCAAATTTAGGTAATATCCGGTCATATGAGGGCCAGAAAGGCCCTTATATGATCCGAGATCTACGGCTTATTTCCCTAAAGTTGAAAATAAGGTGTTATTCTTCATTTTGGATAATATGATTTACAAATTTCACAGATTATGCATCTTCATACAATATTGAGAAACAAGATCAGTATTAGTGTTTCAACCCGTTTAAAAAACCATGGCCTGGGTGACCCAGGGCTAACCCGCTCAACGGATCCACCCGGATCATCGGGTAATCCGTTTAACCGGGTGGATGATTATTTACTCTAATAAATTTTTAGAACTAATCGATTGCACTCTCGTACTCCGTAGAATTATGTTGAAACTCTTTTAACAGTCATCCATACTTGTCTATCCTTGTACAGTGTCGCGGTGTTTCTTAATACCCATGTACTTGTAGCGGTACCCGTGTGACTATCGATCGGGTACGTGATCGAATATTGTGATCGGGGATATGCATGAATGGCATGATCCCGATTTAATTGAAAGTCTAAAAATAGAATTGCATAAACAATGTAGTAATTAGAAGCGATTAGTATCGCATGAACAATCTGTAAATAGCGATTAGTAATTAATATATGATTACATGAATAATGTAGTAATAATTGGCGATTAATAATAATATATAAGGCATCGATCCAAATGGGGGAGATGCCTAGCTTTGATTCTTCGTGAATAAACTTTAACCATTCGTGAATAAACAGTTGTATCTGTGTGAATACATAATAATCGGTAGTAGTATCTGGTACGATACTCCAGTCATCGCGTAATTAGCCAAGCGAGTAAAGACCGATAGGAAAGTTAAAGTAGTACACGCAGTGTTAGTAAACTACGTGACATACAGTCTTCTGAGTTTCGTATGTCTGGCACCAGCCTCAGAAATATTTCATCAGCTTAAATTTGCACACTTTTCGTTTCTACTATAGTATCTCTTTTAGAGTTAAATTCGTATTTTAACTTTTTTATTGATTTAATTGGCCAATTATTATAGGATCGACAGGTTAATTCACGGTTTACTGTCCGCATCCAATGGGTGGCCATTAGGGATGTTACAGCTGTTTTCATTATTCCTGGGACATCTATAAAAAATTAGCTGAAAAAATTTTCGGCCAGTAATTTTTTCGGCATGATTGGTATATAAAAAATATATTTTTTGAACTCATTTACTGTAATATTGATATAATATCTACGTCATAAATTAAATATATTTTTGAGTTCGTTCAATTTTTATTTACTGTAATATTGATATAATAACTACATCTAAATTACATTTTTGGTCCAATTTCAAAAATTACCATAATAAATATAATACCTGTTCTACATACAAATAATTTTATTATTATAATGTCAACATTATAAAAATTTCGTTTGAATACTTGCCCAATATGTTTAGTGTGTTTAATTTATGCGAAAGTTTATGGAAAAGATTGTTCTTGTCAACCAATAAAACTTGACAAGAAATATAAAAAAGGCTCCAGATATC